CGAACATGCCAGGCGAGCAGACTGCCGCGCCGCCGCGTGCCCCCCCCCCCAACTAAGTTAGCACCGAAACCTGCGACGGATCGCGGACTCTGACACCAGCCTTATGATTTGGAGCCGAGCTAGTTGTCTAATCGTCTGTGGTCTCCGCCATTCGTGGCAAGACCATAGAAGAAAGTTCAAGTAGTTCTTAGTTTGTTGGTGTGTTTTTTTTAATCGCACATACAATCCAAACAGATAATATTAAAAGTTCAGGCTCTCCGTGCAAAATGAAATCGTTGAGGAATACTTGTCTCCTTTGCGGGCGAAATGAGAAAAGAGAGAATATGAAGGCAACAAATAAGAACAGAAATTGGAGTCTGATTCTGACATCGTCACTTTCGTTGGCCGGACAATTTGACAGGTCAAATATTGTGACGTTGGCCGAAAAAATTACTTGCAGCGGCAGATATGTGTGTTCCTGTCATGTAGTGCATGCGGTGAGATGAAGCCCACTTTATTTGTTCCTACAGAAAACTGTTCTGTTTTTGACTTCATGTCAGTGTGGTCGTAATTTTGTGTATAGGCACAGTACCTATATGCCGAAGTGGTATCTGCTGGGAGCTCGCTATCGCGTGACAAATATAGTTCCAGTAGGACGAGCATGGTACTCGCTGTCGCAGCAGATATACCGAAGAACCTGGTTGAAACGTTGAACTGGATGAGTAAGGTAAGCTTGAAATCAGAGACATCCTTCACAGGTTGCATATCCTCCATATTTAGACTATTGTCATCAATGCTGAAGATGTACGGGCTTTCATGAATGCCACAAAGAAAAAGTATTATGGAACTTCTGTATGGCCCGTCCATCAGGAGGAGGAGGAGGTGAATTGAAACCAATTAAGCACTTCATTACATAATGTAGGAAAGCCGAGATTCAGGACCGGTTGGAGGGGGTCGTTCCCTCCGCCAATAGTGAAGAATTGGGCATTCCCATTGAACCAGACACTGAAGTCGGAGTCGAAGAGGACGAATTGGAATATGATGCTCAAGATAATACGGAAATGATGGAGATTGGTGCCGAAATATACGATGAGGTATTCTCCAAAATGGCAGATAGTGTAAGCACGTTCTCATAGAGACACTATTGAAGACACATTTCAGGCATCTGATTACGAACCGGAGAGCAGTGACTCGAAATCTGCGTGGGAGGCAGATGTGGGGGATACGGACCCAGCTCTCTTGCACAAGTATTTCTTGGTCCAAGGGTCAATGCTGATGTCATTGTTTCGATTCTGTCCTGAATGCGGCCACCGATTGAGGAAGGCACAACTGAAAGCAGTGGGAACCGCTGCTGTCGTTCGGTTTGTGTGTAGTATGTGCGTAAGGCCGGCCGAGAAGAAATGGGAGAGCCAAAAAAGTACAGTGGCTCAAATAAGGGAACGAGGTTATAAAGGAAATCTCGTGGGTGCTTTATCTGCAGTAACCATAGGCCTACAATATGTGGTTCGTAAAGAAGGTAGCGATGAAAACGACGTCAAGGTAGAAGCACTGCAGAATGTTATGCGTTCCTAACACTAGGATATCTCTAGCGGGATGGATTGAAGTTGATAACACGCTTATCCCATGACTTCATATAACACCTTAAAGTGTTCCAAATCCAACACATTCAATCCAAGTCTTCGCAAAGGTGATCGGGGTCACGCACGCTGGAGCTACTCCATTCCGTGCTCCGTTCCCTTTCCCCCTCATGCCTACGCAAAACATCCCTGCCTAAGGCCCAGGAGCTTCTCTCTTCTCCATTCAAGCCAGATTCAGCCGGTCGTGAGATTGCCAGGTAACTGCATTCCATACATCCTTCAGTCCATTTATAGACATATTTGAAGCATAAGTCTGTATTAACGTAGCTGAGAGGGACCACGCGGCGGTGCAGCGTCTTTTCGTCCGCGCTCTCCAAGGCTTACCCTTAAGGGGTAGTTATATGCTCCTCTAAGGCTTAGTCTGCGGAGTTATATGACGTCTAATCCTTTTAGTGCGATAGGAACCAGAAGCAGATCAAGAAGGGCCAGGGAATGAGGGCTATTCTGGGGCGGGGCTGTGTAAGCTACTTCTCGTGTTGCAAAAGTTCGAGCATTAGTGTCTGGTGTCATGCCTTGTGAAGGTGACGCGGAGGAGCAAAAGGATAAGATGTCACAAGCATATTCTGCGGTGCCACTGTATTTTGAGTTTGCCACGGTGCGGCGTCATACAGTTCATATCTTACGTCTGACTAGGCGGGTCTACGGCCTTGACGTGGCGACCGCCGCACTTGATAGAAGTCGCGCGGATAAGCCACTTCTAACATACTTGCTGGGAATCAGCACGGCAGGCCAGAAGCAGTTTATCCACGCAACTTCTATCAAGTGCGGCTGCTATGTCATTTCCGGTGACACGCCTAATCAGACTTCGAGATATAGATTACTATAGAAACGGCCACAATGAATTATAAGAACGGACGAACAGAGCGCCGCGTCGTTGCGTGGTTCCCCCCCCCCCAACTATGTTCGCACCTAGAGTGGTGCACCTCCGCGTGGTCCCCTCAACTACGTTAGTACTTCTATTCGATCATTAGCTTCATTAGGCCACATTCATTTCGGCACGAATCCAGTTTTCCAACGCGACGTCATTATTGCCGAGCGTGGCTCTTCCTGAAGTTGTGAGTTCATCACATTAGATTGTTTTACCCGACGCAGTCATGATTTGTATAAATTTAGCAAGTACATAGAACTACAATTTCGATGCGAGCAGTGGAAAGTGTACGAAATGCAAACGCAGCTTCCCGCATTTGTGGAGTTGGTATTGTTGACCAGGTATGTCGTTGTTTAAACTTTCTCCTAAAATAATAATCGTTTGTTCCGGAATTGACTCATTCCAGGTGATAGTAACAGTTCTGGGAAAATAGGGCGTGGTTCACTAGGACAGGAAAGCGACTTTTTCGCGTTTCGCAGCGCGAAACATTTTCGCTGCGGGAACCTCGGGTCCACTGATGATCAGCGGTGGACCTGAGGTTCCCGCAGCGAAAATGTTTCGCGCTGCGAAACGCGAAAAAGTCGCTTTCTGTCCTAGTGAACCACACCCGCGAAAATGTTGTTCAACTTTGGACGGTCCAGTGGTACCAAATGGCAATTTCCTTTTTAGAACCACCTTGCTCAGGCGTTCAAGTTCAATTAAATTGACAATCAGTTAGTTCTAAGTCTTGTATGGGTAATTTATAAGTCGTTACGTGCTACTAGTTTTATGTGCTGCTGTCATTTTCTAGTAAACATATCAGGTTTTTTGTGATTGGTCCTAACATGTATTATAAATTTTGGATGTGTCTGTTTTATAACTTATTTAAATGAACACTTCGTTAGCAGAATGAAGATTTTTCTACATATAAGCTTTGTTAGCAGAATAAAGAATTTATTTGTCGTCCCTAAGATCGACTCCTCGAGGTAATATATAATATTAGATTGCCCCAAAAGTTCGTGCCACCTTTGAACATTTTTTGAGTTAACATAATCTCAACAAAAAGCAATATCCACCATCAATATACGGACCATCACTATCAATGACTTGTTGCCAACATATCACCCAAGGAGTTGATAGCGTGTTCGCGGAAGGTCCACAGTTTCAAGGTGGTAGAGGTGATGAGATCGATTTTAAGCTCCTTTTTTCAATCGTACTATTCGTCAATAAGATAATTCCCTAGCAAGAAGAATAGTCGTTCTTTGATGATCACCGCTGTACGATGGATCTGGTCTCACTTCTAAGGTAAGCTGTGAAATCCAGAGCCGTGCCATTTTCCAAACACGTGGTCTCGGTTGTCGTGGAGCGGACATACTTTATTGGAATTTTGGGCGTATAGTTGGAGTTTTCTGACCAGCTTCAGCCTTGATTGAAGGAGACCTAGGCTGTTACAAGGCCGAAGCTGTGGAGAAGTTCTCGGTGGCTTCTTCGAGATTTGCTCCCCATACGTGGAGCCAACACGTTTTGCTGTATTTGACAGTTTTTCAGCCCCTTCTGATTGATACAGCCACTGGTGCTTCTGCAGGTGGTTAGCATATAACAATCACCTCTCATCAGCAGTAACGCCGCTGTTCAGCCACCGCGCCTGAATGGTGTAGCATAGAACTCTGTGCTTGGTGGTCATTCATGAGTGTAGGGGGTGAAGCGATCGATTCAGGTAATGGATTGCTGATCAAGAAGCAGTGATGGAATGAAGGATAAGGAGAAGATGAAGTAATCAACAATAACAGCACTATATAAGCCCCCCCCCTGTGGTTGGTAATAAACAGTTCTACACCACTGTCGTCTACATCTCGATGGCGATCAGGCCGTAACTCACGGATTGTAAGAAGACCGACGCAAGCAGAGGAGGCCGCAGCAACCAAGCAAAGGAGACTACTACCAATCCAGAGGAGGCCGCAGTCAATCCAGCATTCAAGAGGAGCTCAAAATGTCGACATCACAGGACGGTACCGTTTCTATTAAGGCGTCCGCGGTGGCGGAACCGGGTACCTTAGTAGAGGTCTACCGGGGACGCGCACCTGGCGCTTATGTGCCGGGTACACCGTGGCGCACTTGGTGGCGCCTATCAATAATTTCCTCGTATTGAGGAAAGTCAGTGATGAAATTGAACAGAGATTGATTTTTCGCAGAAAATTGGAGGAAGTACACTCTAATTCTCATAATTACGAGCAGCTAGAGTCGCTGCTACAAGGCAGGGAGCCAGAACAGGTGCCACTGACGGAGCTGAGTGAAACGATGGCAAGCCACTTTCAACCGAAGAAACTGGTCCTTGGCGGAACGGTATGGATTGATGTCCCGAACACAACGCCCTGGACAAACTCTGCAGGACTACTATGCGGAGTTGCAGAAAGCTGCAGCGACATGTGAGTTCGAAAAGATAAAAGACCATCGTGACGCCATGGTCACAATGGTGTTCATGGGAAGCTGGGGTAGGCGTGTCACCGGAAGTGACGTGTACTTGATAGAATCTATGTGGATAAGCTGCTTCCAACATACATCGCTGATATCAGCAAAGCATGCTGGCAACAGCTTATCCACGCAACTTCTATCAAGTGCACGTCACTTCCGGTGACACGCCTACCCCAACTTTCGGATCTCGACTGTATGTTTCATTCCGCATGCTACTGCGCGCATTACGCTACAATCTTCAGCAAAATTGGACAGCCTTTGAAATTCATGTGACACATCTTCCAAACATCTTCCAACATCTTACTGTTAGTTTCTCAGCCACGTGACCTAATATTCAGCAAGTTGTCCAGTTTCACTAAGCCTGTGATGCGCGCGGTTGCGTGCGGAGCCAAACTAGTTAGATATAAACCAGTATCCATTGCCGAAACCAGATGATTTATTCCACATGTTAAATGGTGGACAAAAGTTCTCAAAAATGGCTTTGTCGAGGCGTACATGCAGGTCGAACTGGACAAGGAATCCAGGAAGTATACTACAGTAAATACCCAAAAGGGGCTGTTCGAGTATAACAGGATAGCTTTCGGAATAGCATCCGCGCCGGCGATTTTCCAAAAAATAATGGAAACAACATTAGGCCGGAATAGAGGGGGTCGTGAATTTACTTAGGTGACATCACGGTGACAGGACCGGATGATACGACTTACTTGATAGACTCGCACAAGTGCTACAAAGGTTGAAACAGCCGGGTTTCGCCTTAAAAGAATAAATGTGAATTTTTGAAGACGCAGATGGAGTTTTTGGGCCATCTCGTGGATGCTCACGGGATACGGCCATCGCCTCGGAAAATAGAGGCAATTGTTAAGATGCTAGCACTAAAAAATATTAAGGAACTGAAATCTTTTTAGGTATGTTCAATATTATAGTAAATTTGTGCCTAAATTGTCAACGTTAGCAGCTCCGCTGAATTTGTTGAGGAAGAAGGGAACAGAGTGGTGCTGGGATGTAGAACGCCAAAGAGCGTTCAACAAAGTAAAGCAAAGGCTCACAGAATCTGATTTACTGGCACATTACAACCCCGAGGTGCCGGTGGTGTTAGCAACAGATGCGTCCGATTATGGATTGGGAGCAGTGATATATCATAAATATAAAGATGGTCAAGAGAAAGTCATTGCGTATGCTTCTCGTTCTCTGACAAAAGAAGAAAAAAACTAAGCGCAAATAGAAAAGGAAGCGCTAGGTATTGTGTATGGCGTTGAGAAGTTCAACCAATTTTAATACGGCAGAAGATCTACCCTATTGACAGATCACCAGCTTGGTGAGGATATTCGGGTCAAAAAACGGAATACCCACTATAGCGGCTAAAAGACTGCATCGATGGGCTTTGAGATTAATGGTTTACTCATTCGATATTCAGTATCGACAAACGTCAGAATTTGAAAATGCGGACGGGCTATCTCGACTGCCCGATGCTCGCGAGTTACCAAGTGCAGAAGTGGTGATCAGCGAGTTGCAAGTAAAAGCGTTTGATTGGAAAACTTTTACTGACTTGCCTCTATCAGAGGAAGAAATAGCGAAAGCAACGTCAGAGGACCCAGAGCTTGCTCAGGTCTTACGTTATGTTAAGGAGGGCTGGCCGCGCAAGATAGAAGAAAGGCTCAAAGCAAATTTAGCAATATTCATTCATAGTGGATGCCCTATGTGGGAGAACAGGGGATAATACCGAGGAAGTTTCGAAAAACGGTGTTACGAATGCTGCATAACAGCCATTATGGCAGGAACCGTATGATAAGTTTGGCTCGACGGAAGATTTGGTATCCTGGGATAGAGAGGGAAATAGCTCACTAAAGAAGGATGAAGGGTCGAAGTGGCCATATGAAATGAGACAGTATCATGGTATGTGGTTTCGGACGCTGATCTCGAATCTTCTTCCCAAATCTGCCAAACGATTCGCTGAACGGAGTTACGGAGGTTTTTTGTTCCCTCACCACAGTTTAACACAGTGAAAAATCGGCCTCAGCAGCAGCGGATTGTGAACGTAATAGTGAGCCTGAACGATTGTGTGCGGGTGGTCTAGTGGTTAA